ATTAGAAAAAAAGACGTAGTAATAGGCTACCTTAATATTCTAGTCAACAAAGCAAAAATGGCAAAGTATATTAATACGTCAGTGATCCTTAAAATTGACATTCGACCTTTGAAATCTTTGATGGATTCTCACAAGATTTTGTTCAGCATAAAAGTCAGACCTTTATTTAGAATCAAGTTATCATATAAATGGCATAAGAAAATTTAAAGTATAAATAAGAACGCGTAGTTTCAGGTAGTAAGTAACTCTGGCGACATCGTCTACATAGAATTGTGTTTTTTAATAATTAGAACGCAAAAAAAACAATTACCTACTGAATGCCATAAATTTTCTATGTAGATTTGAAACATATTATTATATTGCTATATTTATAGACATAAAAACTTATGCTTCAAAGTGATGAATTAACGCAAATTTTGTCCTTTCGGGGGTTAAGATACATGTCTCCATGTTTCTAGTTGAGAAACGCATACAATTTAAGATCATTGGCGTACAGCCAGACACATCTTCCTTAACTTATGTGCCTCCTAGATAAAAGTTAACATAACTTTTAAGCACTACAGTTGTCGCTTAGCAAATCAGCTATTATCAAGCATCTGTTGGCACTAGGGCTTAAGTACTGGTAAGATGATAACAGGTTTTCTTGGCTATAACAAGAATACCGTAATTTTATATCATTTTTAGTATGTAACCCGCTGTTAATGGCACGAGCTACCTAGAAGCTTTAATTTTGTATTTTGCCTTTTGATGGATAACAATGAAATTCTCTTAGACAAATTTAAATATTTTTTTCACACTAGCTTTCAGCTAATGACTCCAATCGGTCTAAAATTAATATTAATATTAGCGCGTTTGACCGGTTAAAAAGGTCATTAGGTGTACATATCAGAATGAGCCTAGTGAACTGAAATTGGGACGGCTGATGGCGACGCGTATCTCGTTCGTATATACATTAAGTTTCTCATGAAAATATTTTTTTTTGTAATGAGAAATAAAGTTCTTTAGACATTATCGGCTTTACTATGTCCTTAATTTTATGATTCCGATAAGAAATGTCTTAGGTTTGTCCTGCCTAAAAAGTGTTTTTAATTAATTAAATAATTTGCCCTGTTGGCATGTGTCAATTATTTAACCTTAATATTTATCTTTAGTCATTTTCTAAATGACACCTTTAAAAAAATCTAAAATATTCCTTGTTGTTTAATTCGAAGCATAATATTGAATAATAATATAGAAAATAATCAACTTCACATTACATGCGTAAAAGCTTCCAATTTAATTAAAGTTAAGTAAGACCTTTTCTTTTCTTTTTTGATTTTCCTGCAGCTGAGTTTCATCATCGGACGTCAAGGCAAAATACAAAATACCATCCGTATCACCTCGACGTCCGTCGTTCCACAACAGAGCGTTTTCTAAGGCAGTTTTTGCCACGCACCACCACTATGTGGAACCAGCTGCCCACAGAAGTATTTCCGAACCAATTCGACTTAGGGTCCTTCAAGAAAAGAGCGTACCAATTCCTGAAAGGCCGGCAACGCACTTGCGAGCCTTCTGGCATTGTGAGTGTCCATGGGCGGCGGTATCACTTAACATCAGGTGAGCCTCCTGCCCGTTTGCCTCCTATTACATAAAAAAAAAAAAAAAAAGACCAACCAAAAAAGAACTGTGTATCTAAGTGCGCATTTAATAGTCGCTCGTCTGGTGAAGGAAAACATCGCGAGGAAACTGGCATGCCCAAAAAGTCTACTCTGTGTGTCAGGCACAGAAAACTGAGCACTTACTTGCCTTTTAAGAAAAAACTTATGATCACCGAACAGATACAAAACCTAAGTCCTTTGTTGTTTAAAACGAACATCCATATGCTCCATTTATCAAATGTTAGATGAATGCTCTTCTTTGCCGTCCTGAATAAAACAGAACTACATTTGTTTTATCCAGGATAACTAAATGTATGAGCTAGCTACAGCGGCGAGACTCGCCAATTAAAACGATGACAATTTTAATTGAAATCTGTATTATATAGGAAAATTAATTTACGTGCCTAATATACGCAGCGGGAGTAAAGAGTTTTGGGTACAACACCGGCAAAATCAATTTGAAAGCGGAGTATTGGCGAGTGGCCAGCGTCCACAAACGGATAGCCGCAAACCTGAATATTATAATACAATACTCGATCATCAATCACGTTATATTTAGTACTCCTCGCTGTATCGATTGGCCAATTCAAGATTTGGAAAATCTTGGTACATCGGTGTATCCTTCTGCCACATAATACGACACTTAGTAGTACTTTATGTTCTGTTATTATACGTTAAACACAACAACGAAATTTAATGAGATTAGTTAACGACTGGTTTTAAAATCTCTTAGCATTTTTAGGTTTTGAATGGATAGTGAACCAATCTAAACTAATGTGTCATAACAAACGTACTATAAATAAATAAATCAGTGGCACTACAACCTCTTTTAGGTCTGGGCCTCAGATTTCTGAAGCTGTTTCATGATCATTTTTCAATCTAATAGGCAAGTAGGTATACAGCCTCCTGACACACGCCGTCGACTTTGGGTCTAAGACATGTCGGTTTCCTCACGATGTTATCCTTCACCGTTCGAGCGAATGTTAAATGCGCACATAGAAAGAAAGTCCATTGTTGTACAGCCGGGGATCGAACCTACGCCCTCAGGGATGAGAGTCGCACGCTGAATCCACTAGGTCAACACTGCTCACGTACTTAAAGACGTCAAATAGCTGTTGCTAAATAGATTAACGATATAATTGATATATTATACAGGATATTTCAATTCGAAAATTTATATTGTATGTATGAATCAATTATATCGAAATAACCACCGCTAAAATTAACATACATGCGAAATTCTTTGTGAAAGATTTAAAAAATGCGAGTGATTGGTATGAATTTGCCTGAGGGCATGTCTGTCATTTGGTAAATATCTTTGGTGAGATATGCGTGCATGTAAGGCTTCTGAGGAAGCCGACGGCTACGAATCAAAAATCGAAATATTTATAGTTAACTAACGCGATTTTTACAATTTCATGCTAATTTTACGTGAGAATTTCTCAAGTTTTGTAGGACGTTTTATCGAAATTAAGATCTACATAAATATTTAGATTATTAACTAAAAAAATATATCTTCTTTCAAATTGTTACATATAATTAAAATAAATTACAATACATTCATATTATTTAACTAGTTTAAGAGGAACGCAAGAGGTAAGAAAAAAAGGAAGGGTTGAGGTTTTTTTTTAGGTTTACTTAAAAGTATATAATTGTAACTATAGATTTTTTATCTAGTAAGATTTTTTAAAAGCCGGCAACGCACTTGCGAGCCTTCTGGCAATGTGAGTGTCAAAAGGCGGCATAAGGTTACATAAAAAAAATTACAAGAGAGATGATTAATCTAAATATTTTTTGTCTAGTAGAATTAGCAGTAGACCTTTTTTATTTTATTATATTTTTTATTGTTTTTCTCTGCCCTGCTATACTACATAAGATAAATATGTAATCGAAATACAAATTCAAATTCTAAATATTATTCTGATGTATGAATAGCATATTGAAGTGTCATGGAATTTCAAAGAAATATATTTTACCTCCTACCTAATCGTTACAAGTAGCTGGGGTTGCTATCCTCCACACTCTACAGACAGGCAATGTTCTAATAAACGCTATTTTATAAAACTGCTCCCTATCCAGACTGTAGTCTATGGCACTTATTTCTTTTGCTTGTATATTATTCGATGAGTATTAAAGGTAATCTCTGCGAGTATTTACATTATTGGAATCTTGTTTTTTGATTTGCTACGTTGCTTTATTAAGTTTTTAAATTTATTTTAGTCTTTGTCTAGTATAATGTAAACCTTTTTATTTTCCTTATTGTATAATTCTGTTTATGTATTAATTTTGTTTCTGTTATCAGTATTTCGGCACCAGTGTTGGCCTAGTGGTGGCCATGTTGACATGTGACTCTCATCCCTGGGGTCATAGGTTCGATCCCGGCTGTACACCATTGGTCTATGTGCGCATTTAACACTCGCTCGTATTCCAAAGGAAAACATTGTGAGGATAAATGATAAATGATTTATTTCTGTAAGTAGGTTTTTACAAACACTTTTACACGTCAAACGTTTTTTTTTTTTAAACTAGATGAGATCGACGTTTCCTAGGAAAGGAAACCTTAGACTCAAAAAGCCAACGTTTGTGTCAGGCACAGAAAGTTAATAAACTACTTTCCAATTAGAAATTATCATAGAAATTATATGGGTCCCAGACCTAAAAAGTGTTAGCGTCTGTTGTATGTTATCAGTATTACACGCATTGCGCTTCTTTATTTTCAAAATGTTTATCAAAACTTATTGTCTGAAAGGATTAGGTTTTAGCAATAAGACCCCCTGTTTCACACAAAGATTCCCATTTATGTTTAATGTGTTATGAATTAAGTGTTGACAATTAAATGTTTAAGTAACAATTATATTTCGTCTCTCCAATCATAATAAAAATTATGAGTCCCAGTATTCGACGTGTAAATTACATCACCCAATAAATGAAATTAATTCTGTGAAAAATAATTTTCAACCGCTATTCTTCGATACTTTACAAACATTATAAAGTCGATATTCAGAGCGAGAACATCGATTATAATCGTTCCGGTACTTTACGACTTTATTTCTGGCCGGCATGTTTTCTTTGACTGCGTCAGTTAGCTTGGGACTGAACGTTCGCTGTATCGGATAAATATTAATAAAGCTGCCGGCCTCGTTTCTGAGAAGTTGGGAGGATCTTATTTTAACCGCAATAGCACCTATAATTAGCAACATCCAAATTACTCGTGGCGTAGGTACGACTTGCGCCAGTTTGGTATTACGTGTCGAATATTTGAATCACTTCTAATATTATAACTAATTGATCTTTAAACGACCTACCCGCGACTCTTTATCCTTTTTGACTTTGAAGAATTGTAGCCAAATACCCGGAGCGGCAATGACAGGCGCAATATTCGTGGAAGTCTTTATCGAGTGCTCGCAAAGCAACAGGCAAATAACGCGCAGGTGTGTCGGCTACAAAAGATTTACTTTATCCTCCCCTTATCAAAAGAACGATCAAACTAAAACAAAAGAATGAGTCAAGAGAGCCAACGACCGCTGTTCCAGGGTGATCTGTTGAAATTCCCGAATAATTGTCGACGCGTAAGGTGACGCCGAAAATAACCCACTGCATGAGTCGTTCCCTCTTTCAATTAATTTTATTTTTATATTGACGAAATGGCTTATTTGTTTTGTATAGGGTGAAATTGCGGTCTCGAGTGTTTGGATCTAGGCCAAAGATCCTTTATAAATTGTCGAGATAATTTCGCTCTGGTTTTCATTGTACGGTATTTCTCGCTGGAAATCGTCCTATTTTATTACGAAATAATAAATACATATGCAAGCGGCGTAAATAAGGTAATAAAGTGTTCCACTTTGGATTCCAGTATCGTAGTGGTACAAGTGAGACCACCGCACGAGTCGGCCGTTGGGAAGCGATGCACTCCGCCGACTGACCGTGGGAAAGCTACCGTATACGGTATGTTGATAGTAGACATATATTGTACTAGCGGAACTGACCTTTTTGGTCATTAGTCACTAATTAGAACAAGAACTGGATACACCAGTTGTTTAAATTCGTAATATATATATGAGACTGTCTCTAAATAAGAACAAATGAACGTTACTATGCTCGTTTAATATAAACTAGGTCGTGTCATATAAAAATATATTTGAATCACCTTTCGAGATGGATTAGCTTTGCTTGCTATTTATGTAAATATTTGTAGGCCTCTCCTTAACATTAAAAAAAATGTTTTTAATTAAGCCAAGTAGACAACGCAAGTGGATACTCATTAGGATAATTATATTGGCGATTTACTGCGTGTTTATGCCCACAATGCCACATGTCTTAGTGTGTCCGAATCGAGGTTACACACAAACAACAGATCGTACAAGTACACTCGGTTCGCGTGGTAACAACGTTCACGTAGTTACAGTATAACCTGACTAGAGACTTTTGACCTGCAGAAAAGCATCTCTTTCACCCGGTCGACACCGGTTTCCTAAGCGGGGGAGGCAGAGGAGCGGATCAAGCTATACTGGCCATTGAAGCGTGCGGCAGACGTCATCCGCACACGAGCCCAGCTCACTCACACATGTACACATGACCGTGGCATTCCATCAGCATCCACACTTACATGCACACAGCGCACCTTATTAAAACGAGACGCGAATCGACGACTTATCGGGCAATTAGTCGTGGTCGGCGTCAAACGGTGCGGCGATCCGGATTCTTGTTCACCTTACACTGTCCCTTATCTTATCTGTTTGAATTGTTAACGTATTTGAACGCGACTAAATGTAGAGGTCGCTCCTTAATGAATCCGTAATTAACTTCAAGTCTAATTGAGGTGGTTAATTAGGCGTTATCTGGATATGCTTTTTGGAAGCAATTAAAGTTAAAAAATAGTGGCGTAAGGGTTGTTTATTGAATTTTAATTTTAATTATCGTATGTGTTAATAGCTTCATAAAAAATGTAAAGTGGTAATGTAAATCGTGCATATATACGCAGTCGTCATTGAAACAGATTCAAGTACGTTGGTAAGGGCGCATGTAGTCGGCACGCGCGCCGTTTGCACTGCGCAAGTACAGTTGATAACAGGCTCTCAAATTGTCAACTTATGAATTATTATTCTGTTAATCCGATTAAAATAAAACATTACGTGCCACTGTTAATTACATCTCCTGTCTGTTTTCACTTAATTGTTCATTACAATATGCGCATTCATTTCGCTATTGTAATATATTTAACATATTACTACCAAAATGACGAATTGCTTGGACTATTAAAACCTGTTTTTAAAGTATATTTCATCTAAAACAAACATGCAATGAATAGTTAATTGGCTCATATCCGGACCTCAACAGGTTTGAACATACGAATTAACGTGATTAAATCACATCGGATAACTATCGCTTGAATCGCGTTAAAGTGTTAACTCCTAACAGCTTGTCATACCGTGTTATGATTGTTGATATTATAAGAAGATAAAAAGATAAACTATGTGCCTTAACGCTTACGCCATAAAAATAAACAGGCGTGGCTAAATTTATACGGAGGGAGCATTTTGTAATTACAGAGATAAATCTATTAAGACATTCGAAGAGGGCTTGATATATTTCCAGTTCTAATCGATTATTTAGAAAAGTATGATAATTTCGAATAAAATTACTATGTTTTTATGATACGAGATACGTAGGGTACCTCGATTTCGCGCTAACAATTGTTCGGGATGATACAGGCTCACCGCTGATCACCAACTTTGCTTTGTCAATGGAACAGATACAGAAGTGTCTGCTTTATAACGGGATAAAAACGGGACTTAAACACTATGACTCAAAATTAATTTATAGTAAAGTTAACATTAAATTAATCATGTCGAAACCAAAGTAGCTAATTATGCTAAATTTATAGTATTTTCTTGATAACGCCTAACTTTATTTACAATTTTATTAGACCACCCGCGGTTTAACGGACCTGTCTTAATCTATGATACTATTTAATTTGTACAATATGCCAAGAAACCGTCGTAATAAATTATATTCGAATAACTAATGTCTTTATAAGATCTATAAATTAATTTGTCATTCCGGCGCGCATACATTGTAGCGGTTAATGTTATTTGGTGTCAAAGGTAAGGACTACTTTAAAAGATTATTTAAATTTGTGTAAATTAATTATTAATATAATATTTGATTTAGTTGTCGTAGTAGGGACAGTAGTGTCTTGTAAATGCTTTATAAAATATTTATTTTATAAAAAACATGCAATGCTTTTTGATATTAAAGTCAATTTTTTGAATTTAATAATGTTATAGAATTTTTCTTACGTAACTATTATTTAGTGTCTGAAATTATTGAACTTATTAATAACTTCGTTTTGATGATTAAAATCTGAAAACTGTGTTGAAGAAGATTTAAAAAAAACTTTAAAGTCAATTAATTGCAACCAAAAGGCATAACTAGCAGTCTCCAGTACACATACTAGGAAACTTAAAACCAAGAAGCTTTATGATCAACACAGATAAGTAAAGACAGTACAGTATTCAGAATCTTGAATCTTAGAGCGCGGAGTACGGAGTGTAAGATAGGACATCGCTCGTAAACTTACTGTAGAGACACAAACACAAATGATACCAAAGACCTAAGAAGGGAATAGATAGGTCACGACATCGATGACGTCACTAGAGTTCAAACGTTATTAGAATACTATTCGTTATTGTTTGTGAGCTCCCCTTTTCCGCTATTAGATAACATCTAATACAACCTTATTTTTAAACGCGCGCTACAGATGGTACCGTTGCCATGGTTACAACATCTTTTCCACGGTAACTATGGTAACGATCGCCGTACCCAGTTCTCGTTTTATAATAAGGCCGTTAACGATCAAAGACAGGGCTATATCTTTTATATTATGTTGCCAGTGTCTATAATTTATTTTTCATTGTATATTACACACGAGGTACGGGTGAATAGATTTGTTTTATATTATAAATAACTAAGTGCTTTAGACATCTCTTTCCGTTACACTGTAAATATAATTTGATAGAAAGAGATAGGCAGTGTAATTATACGATTTTAATGATTGTGAAAGGGTTAAAGGTTTTAGTTACAATCTCCTATGAAAGTATAAGAGAAAGTGTTGGTTACTACAAACTTAAATGCACTAGGCAACGAAATAAATTCGTAGTAATTTTCTAATAAGTTTTTTAGGTCTATGGTGTTCTAGCCCTGTCTCGCTGAAGGTAGGCAGTTAGGCTCTGTCCGGTTTGCAGTAGGCAGGATCCTAACTTATGTAGAGGGGTACTTTTACTTGTCTGCATAGCATACGCGCAATAGTATTTAGTTTATACAATTTTTTTTTAATTAAAAAAAAAAGAACCAATAAGTTCTACATATACGTCACTTTAGGGCTGTTAAAGCTGATCAAAGCTTTTTTTATCGGTAAATAATAGAAAATACTTCTGTCCTTGTGGATTTCTCTTAAATATACCTAAGTTTTGAACGCTTTTTATACAAATACATTGGTACATAAAAAATAAAATGACATGAAAATATTTTGTTTTTGAATTTAGAAAAGGTTAGTTGATTGAATTATCATTACGATGTCAAGGCAATTTGCGATTATTCGTCAATCGTTATTTAAGTAAGAATTGATTTGAAAATGGAACCTTCATACTAGATTAGTCTCATGAGTCAGAGGCTGTCATTGGTGGCCCCATTGATATTCCATGAGCGCCGAACGGCCTTATATTAACGTTGGTCACACCCACGCACCCAGATAAATTTCCTCGTTGTTTCTACATCTCATATAAACATCGAAACACTTTATACACAGAAGGCTCACGGTTAGTTCTGGTTTGACGCAAGTTGTAAGCGATTAGATTAAATGCTGTCAGACCTACGTAAACGTTTTAATATTCTGATTGACAATACTCTAACTGTGTTCTGAAACTATTCATTTTAAGTAGAAAAAAACATGTTAGCTGTTACGTAGATGTTACTGAGACAAATAAAGTTCAACATTTAGTGTAATTACTAAATTTAGGTTGTAACTGTTGAAAATGCATTTCATATGATATAGTACTTTTAAAATAAATATAGATGATAACTACAACATATTATATTATCTATAACGATTAACTCCAACTCAGCCTTATTGCTAAATTAATATGAGTATACCAAAGTACAATGCATTGAATAAACGTCATTCCGATAGGCAATATTCATTAATAATAACCCCTTATTTATAACTGAACTATGAGCCTCAAGTAACTAAATATGGTTTACTCTTCACCTCTCGTGCCAACATCGTACCAATCGAAGCAGGCGTCAAGAGTTTAGTAATAAGTGTATTTATTATTAGTCAATTGAACTTTATTGCCACACAAAACAAACAAACCAAACAAAGCAAACGGGCAAGAGGCTCATCTGGTGCTAAGTGATATCACCAGCCATGGACATTCACCCAGAAGGCTCGCAAGTGCGTTGCCGGAGTCTTGTGGAAGCTATAATCAACCTAGGAATAGTCTTTTCATACTAATCATAGTTGGTCATCCTATTCCTAATACCCGCTCAGGCATGTGCCTTGTTCGAATCTCTAGCTAGACATGCGTATAGCACTATGCAGGCCGCAGTCAATGAACCGGCAGAGGTCAGGTGAAATTATCTCGTATGGACTGCCTTACGCGACATCTGACTCACAATGCCCGGATACTGTTTTATCTTCTGTTAACTTGAACATTTGAGGCTGCGTTGATTTAAGATATGTACCTTAAAAGTTTAAAACGCTCTGAAAAAGTTTAATTAAAAAGTATTAGGTCTTACAATGCGTGAAAAGAATTAATTGGTTGACTGACTTGTTTGTGAGCCTTCGTTGGCAGAGTGTCAATTATCTTTTTTCGTATTGTGCTTTCAATGTGTCATTATATGTATGTTTATAGCGCGGGTATAAATGTTCAATATAATGTGAGGGTCCAGGGGTCGGTTAGACTGCGACTGTGCGCACGACATCTTGCCCCTTATCTCAAATCTTTAGCCGCTTTCGATGTAACATAGATACTCGTACGTATACTGCGGAGGTTTCGCTTACTATATCTATATATTTGTTTACAATCTAATAACAGAGGTTGGTGTACATGGGTTTTATTTAGTTTATTATTTAAATATGATTAGTAAATTTTTAATATCTAAGGATGGAAATCAGCTGGTGAAAGAGACGAGTCGACACAACAAGGAGACCTATGTCTGAAAACAACCTGACCAACTGGCTGCTGATAAGTTAAAATGTATATTATCGCTAGGTTTGAAGATCCTATGGGCTATTTTTTTTTAAACGGAAGTTGTTTATTTACAATCAAGTATACAGTATTAACAGTATTATCGCTTAGATTAAAATGTTAATGTATATATTTGCTTTGTGAATGAAGGCTTTTATTATTATTAAAAAATTAATTAATTACTCAGATATAAGTGAGCAGTGATGGCCCAGTGGTTTCGGCGTGCGGTTCTCATGCCTGAGGTCGGCTATGCACCAATGGGCTTTCTATCTGTGCGCATTCAACACTCGCTGGTACGGTGAAGAAAAAAATCATCAGGGAAACAGTT